AAAAAAGTTACTCCAAATGTTTGCATCGCTAATAGCCAAAAACGCCTGCAGAATGTTGTAGTTTTGATCAAAGCACTTCAAAACGGCCATTGATCAACACGGGCTTATCAATCTCCAATCACTGACTCAGACCATTAGAATCTAGATTAAATTTTACATTAGAGAGTATGACTTAGTAAAATATCACAGTCGTTCATCCCGCACATTCGGGCTGCAGTCCTGTGGCTAAAGGAACCGGGGCGGAGTCTTCCAGCGGACGAAGCAGCACGGAAGAGCGCACAGAAGGGTGTCTTTAAAAGCCTCGCGGAAATCCCGATTGAAATATGCGTAGATGAGGGGATTGAGGGCCGAGTTGAAGTATCCAACCCAAAAAAGCATGCCGATGAGCCATTCCGGAGTCGGGCAATAATCTCCGCAGATTGTTGTGGTCACATACCTGGAAAACAAATAGTTTATGGAATTGCTTGTATTAACCGCTAAGTATAAGCGGTGTAAAAAACCAAACGACTTTTATACTTCGTACATAAAATGTAGAAACTTCATTATTTTTGTAGATAAGTTCTATATTGTTGAGGCGGACTCATTTTTTCACAAACTTCTTTTTGGGTATTTCACCTCAAAAATTGTTGTCTTTAAAAAAGACAGAATTTACTCATTAACACCATTATTGAACTTTTAGCAATATGGGTAAAGTCAACTTATTTTCGATACAATGACAATTTTTATCAACAAAATTTTCGAATGGTTATGGGGTCACCACTATCCCCATTTTTCAGTCATTTATTTACGGAAAATTTCGAATCAACTTTCATTAATAATTACAAATTTAAACCAATAATTTGGTGGCGTTATATTGATGCCGTATTCTCCATTTACAGTCATGGCGAACAAAAACTTGATGAATTTTTATCTTATCTGAATAATAAAGAACCAACAATTAAATTGACTATTGAAAAAGAACAAAATCACCAAACTCCTTTTCTCGATATACTAATTCAGAAAAATTTAAACAATTTTGAAACCTTGGTCTATAGAAAACCTACTCATACTAACCGATATTTGAATTTCGACTCAAATCACCCGATAAGGGCTAAAAAAGGTATCGTAAAAAGTCTATATGATAGAGCAAAAATAATGTGTAATCAATCTAATTTTTCCAAAGAAAAACAATTTATAAAAGAAATTCTAAATTTCAATAATTATCCAAATTCTTTTATTGAAAAATGTTTTAA